ACCGGTGGGTGACCTCTTGGTTCATGGGTTGATGCTCAAAATCACTGAGCCACACCGGCCGGGCAGTCCTGTCTCCTTTAAGCTGTGTGGCTTTGAGCAGGTTCCTCATCTCCTTTAATCCCCGCCTTTGAGGTGAGAAGCCCCTAAACGACTTCACTCTTAGGTGTTGGGGCAGCCCCTCCCAAAGAAGAAGCTGCTTTTCTGTCTCCTAAGTGGTCCCCTTCGCCCCAGCTTCCACGTGGTGCGGGGAGAGCGCAGGAGCTTGGAGCTGGAGGCCCTTCCCCTCCCTGCCCAGAGCACATCCTGTTCCCCTGGCCAGGCCCCCACAGACTCCAGCCGCCTGGGATCCCCTCAGCCCCGGGCTCCGGGCTGTCCCGCAGCAGAAGGCCAGGCGCCTGCAGAGCTGAGCTGAGGATGGAACCGCTCTCCACCCACCACCCACACGCACAGACTTTCAGAAGGAAGAGAGGGAGCTGGGGGGCGGGGAAGAGGGGGTGTGAGGGCAGGTGGGGAGGAGGTGGGCAGGAGCCAGGCGCACTTCCATCCTGGGCCAGGCCCAAAGGTAAACAGGTGTATTTGGCCTCGCAGCAGGGGGCAGCGGGCAGGCCTGAGCCTGTCTGGGGTGGAGTTGGGGGGGGGGTGGCATTAACAATGGGGTGGAGAGTGGCCCAGGTCCTGCTGACACACTCTTGTGTAATGATGAGGAGAAAACGCAGGTGACAAGGGAGGGGAGGCACCCTGGGGGGCTCTGTGAGGCCACCCACGCTGGGGCTGCGCTGACCCTGTGAGCCAGGAGGCACATGGGGGCCCTGGGGGTCACCACCCTCCTGGGGCACATGTGTCTGTCCCACTCAGGGGCTCCGGGTGGGACAGGGACAGGTCAGAGTCACCCAGCGGGCATGCTGGGGCCTGAACTTTCCTTGTGTGGTCAGCGGCGGGCAGGGATCAGCTGGAGGGCACTGTCCCCCAGAAGCCAACCAGCCTGGGGGGTGCGGTGCTGGGAGAGGCTGGTGCACACTAACCGGGGGGGGGGGGGACAGGACCAAGGGGTCCATGCCCGGCCCCCAGCTCCGCACAGCCCCTCGCCCTGCCCCTCGCTAGCTCACTTGCTCGGAGGGCAGGAGGGGCTCAGGCCCTCTTTCCACTGGAAGGAAGCAGCTCCCTGAGCTCCTGGGACAGCAAGACTCCAGCAACTGGGGAGAGCCGGCTGCCTGCACACAGCACCCCCCCGCCCATGGCCCCCAGGGCCCTTTGAAGCCACAGCGACTGCCCACAGCCCTCCAGGCTGTTTGCCCAGGGAGCGAAGCTGAGCAGAGGCTGCTGTGTGTACGCAGAGCCACCCACGGGCTCTGTCAGGGGTCCTGCCCCGCCCCAGACCACCCTGCCCTCTTCCTGCCTCATCTGGGCACCAAGCCATGTCCTGATCCCCACATGATATTCCAGTTTCGCCAACTTGCTTAAAG